TTGCATCCAGTCTCCTCGCTTCAAAACTGGAAAACTGTGCCCACACGGGGGCTCTGGGGGTCTGAACACAGGCCTCCTGTTGCTCCTTTCTCTACACCCTTATTGACCTAAGACACGTAGCCTACGCACACACACACACACACACACACACACACACACACACACACACACACACACACACACACACACACACACACACACACACACACACACACACACACACACACACACACACACACACACACACACACACACACACACACACACACACATACACACACACATCAAAATACCCCACTCTCCCATTCTGTCATGTGCAGTTTGACTTGCAAAGCCCTGATTGGTGGAGCTAAACCAGACTAAACACACCAAAGGATCATGCATAAGACCCCGAAATAGCTCATAAAAGGCACGTTGTGACCCTCTCTCCTTACGCTAAACTGCGCTCCTGTGGCTTCTGACGACTCCCCCGTCTCCCACTCCGCTTTTGTCTTTTCCATAAATCAATATCTGTCTGGGAGTGTGGGGCTGCTGATTGCTTTGACAGAGCGTTGCTGTGTAATTTGGCTAAATGGCACTTGCATCAAGTTTACTCTGAGATGGTAAACAGTCTGGCTGGTAAAAGTGTGCTGATAGGCTGCAAGCATACAATCAGCTGTAATTGGCATTGTGGACTGTGGACACACTTACCTGGAAGATAGGCATGATGGTGGGTTCGTGATAATATGGATGACATTCATTACCCCGCCTGACAAGTCTTAATCTATTTTTAAATCGCACTCAGATTCTAGTCTAATACTGTATGAGAGGTTTCCAGCACAAGAGACTTGGCATATATTCCCGTGGCCGTTTTAATGACTGAGTTTTGTTGGGTTTTTTTAAAACAGGAGAACTTTAACGAGGTGTCAGGGCTGCTACTGTTGCCAGAGACGGTGGTTTAGGGTTGCTCAAATTAAAGAATACAAGAATCCTTCTCTTCAGCTGGGAAAGCACTCTGACTTACAGCCATCTGATGATGAGAATTTAATCAAAAAGTAGATGTATTCGCAGTGTAGTAAAATGTAGATTCTTGTAATTAATCTGCAATCATAGCAGTTTGGTATTTGGTGTTCTCTTTGCTCGCTTTTTCACAATCTAAAACATGTTCGATGTTGAACTTCTCTTGATTTGTTACCTTTTTTAATGAAGTATCAAAACAACAGCAGGCCTCTTAATTCATCATCCCCATTTCTCAAGGAATGTTGAAAAACGGAGACTCTCACTGCCAAATGACACAGAGGGGGTCTTGTTTCAAGCTGTCAAGCATTCCTGTATGAAACACACACACACACACACACACACACACACACACACACACACACACACACACACACACACACACACACACACACACACACACACACACACACACACACACACACAGATCCTAGACGGCTTTGTTCCCTGAAGTCCCATTTGTATGACATGTTAATTCTTATAAATTTCACATCCTTCGAACTGCACACACTAGCAATATTAACGGACACCCACCCATTAACACACACACCCACACACGCCCACTAATACACGCACGCACACACACACACACACACACACACACACACACACACACACACACACACACACACACACACACACACACACACACACACACACACACACACACACACACACACACACACACACACACACACACACACACACTCATCCAGCTGTATTGAACGTTTCCTCACTGTTTTATCGCGGTACTTTTCCAGTAATGTCTGACTCACAGTTGCACTGTGCCTGAACCCACCACCCCCCCTCCCACTCCTCCAAATGTAAGTGGGAACAATGCACAGTTATCCGTGCGGTTCATTGTATCACTAGCACACAGTTGGCCTTTTAGATGAAGCTTTGTGGATCAACAGGTTGCATTGTATTCTGCACTGACGGCTTATTTATGTAGTTATTTATAGGACATACTGTTTATGTGTACAGCTGATGATACTCTATCGTTTTACTGTCAAAACATTCCAGAAAAAGAGTTGATACTTCAATTAAATCAGTCAGTTTAGCAAAACAACAGTGGCTAGCTATTTTCAGGAAATGAAAGGAGGGAACTAAAATAGAAACTATAGTTTAAACAAATTGAAACGTTATTTTTGTGACCCGTCTTTCATGTCTTCAGGAGGATCGGATAGCCACAGATCTGCTTATCTCATATCCTCAGTAGGATCGGATAGCCACAGATCTGCTTATCTCATGTCCTCAGTAGGATCGGATAGCCACAGATCTGCTTATCTCAAGTCTTCGCCTCCCTAAGCGGATTCTAAGACGCCAAAACAAAAGTGGAAACCGCTCATGATGGCCACATAGCTCGATGGGCACCAGGTCTGACCACACACTGACTGGCCTCAGGCACTTTCTCTCTCTCTCACATCATTGTAAACACTTGATTTAAATCCTTTGTTTAGTCAGGACCAGAGTGTGTGCCGCAGTAATGTCTAAATCACTATCTGTGTGTTGGCACCCTGCAGTTAGTGGCACACTCATTTACTTTGGGACAGGATCACATTTAGTTTCTCTTAAACCAGTGACCCTAAGCATGGCTGGATCAACACGGAGATGTAAGGCTCCATGTGTGTTCAACTCTGAGGTGGAAATTAGAGCTTTATAAGTTGTGATCATTTGGACTAGAATTGCTAGAGTATATGATTCACGATATGGAGGGAATAATTATAATCATTTATCAGTCTAATTTTCATGTGATTTTATTATATATTATTATTTGTATCTCTGAAGCACAACAACACCTTAAAACAAATTCTGACGTTTTTAACACATATTCCCCCCCCCCCCACACACACACAAACACACACACACACACACACACACACACACACACACACACACACACATATACCATGTATACATCACTTCAGGGGACATTACATTGACTTACATGCATTTCCTGGAGACTTATCCTAACCTTAACCCTAACCAACACATGCCTAACCCTAACCATTACCCTTACCCTTAACCTTACCCTAACCCTAATCCTAAACCTAACCAAGTCTTCACCCTAAAATTAATGATTCCCCTTATGGGGACCTCCAATTTGTCCCCATAAGGGAAGCCAGTCCCCACACGTGACTATGTAAACAGATGTAGGTCCCCACAAGTATAGTAATGCTAGACCACACACACACACACACACACACACACACACACACACACACACACACACACACACACACACACACACACACACACACACACACACACACACACACACACACACACAGCTGTATTGAACATTTCCTCACTGTTCTATCCCAGTACTTTTCCCTGTGCACTTTAAAGATGTCACTAGTCCACACTGCCATTTCAATGAAACTATGATAAATGATTCAGCGCTGTAGTGGAAAAGCCTCTAACAGGACCTGACTTTACCTTTCATGCACCCGACCTGCTTTGGCTCTCTCTGACTTTAGAAATACATCAGATTTAAGAAGAAATCCTGCCTTTTTGATGGAGCCATTCTTGTGAGAAGCCGCTAGTTTAGCAGGTATGCGGGTTTTCCTGCACGCCTGGCTGGGATCAATGTCACCTTTCAGAGCGTCTGAACACAGGGCAGACCGGGGGAAACGAGGGCCACAAAGGCCTCTTTCAAGGAGAGAGCCTTTCCCCCCGTGTTGACCTAAATCTCCTCCTCCCCTCTCCCCTCTGCCTTACAGCAACTACTCAGACATTCAGCCTTCATCCAGGCTTCACAGGGAACGTGCTCCCAGTCAGGGAGTCAACCTTTCGGGGTGAAAACACGGTTCTCCAGAGACTGTGGGTGCTAAAAAGTAATGAGATTTGATAGGAAGGTGAGACCCGATACTGTTTCTGGGTGGTTCCCAGTTAGAGGCTTGGGGAGTAATGGATGACTAGCAGGATTACAGTGTTAGTAACAACCATTTAGTGTTTGTTGTAAAAGGATCAGATGTTATCTCTTCTCTGTAAGCTGTACTGTTCTGTAGGATAATACTTTACGAGTGAATCCATACGCCTACTGCCTGAATCGTTGGCTCATTTGTTCTGTTTTATATCGAGCAGGAGAACCTATATGTGCATTAAATAGTGTGTGTGAGCTTAACTGTGTGTGTTAAACTAAAAATGGAGCATTTTCTGTCAGCTCAGATTTCAGAACTGCTTTTGTAGACTGCAGTATGTGCTCATTGTTGGTGTATGGGCTGGATATGCTTCATGAAAGGCGGGTTTTCCTATAAATAACATCTCTGAGCAGAGGACACATTCTTGACTGTGTGTCTTATAAGATCAATTTGTTCTGTTGGCTTACATCAGTACAAAACATCTTATTGATATCTCTTCTCTTATTCATTGGCATTGCATTTGATATTGAGGTAGTCCAAAAGTAATGGCACGTAATCAGGTTACATCTGATACTCAGGTTAGACTGCATTTATTTGCACAGGTAACTACTGTAGTAACAGATTTACATTTTGAAGTTGTCTTGTCTCCAGTTTCACAATCCAACTCCCTGATTGAAATGGAATATAGCTATAAATCATTTTCTGTCGACCACACCCCCCCCCTACTTTCCCCTGTCACTGTTCTGTCATCGTTCTCACAGCCGCCATCTGTGCACTCTCATAAGTTACGTGTACATGTTTACACTGAGCCCCCAAAGTAAACGGAACTACATTTGCACCGATGTACATCATCTCACCAAACGGTACACACCCCGCCGCCTGGTCGTTTCAACATGTGACACGTTTCATGGAGAACCACTTGACTGACTTTTAAGACCAACTGATTCAGTGATAACACAATGAAAGTCTGTCTGCGGTGGGGAGGGATCTTTTCCAGACTTTTCTTTGTGTCTGCCAAGAGACACAGAGGATTCCTGGAGCTCCTTTGTGTAGTTACCGTACGCGGAGTTTGTAGAAAAAAAGATATTGCGTTCTGTACATGCACAATTCAGTTTTGACGATGCAGACGACAAGAAAGTATTTCATTTTTTATAAAGACTTTTATTACATTTTGACAATAAGTTAAACAACTTGCTAAATTTCAAAAACCATTCACACATATCTCTCGGGAAAATAATGCAGAAATGTCTCTAGAAAAGCTGTTGGAAATGTACAACAACTTTTACTTTCAAGTAAAAACAAAACTTCAATAAAACAGAATTCATATTGAACTCTGCTGTTTTTTTCTGGTGTGCAAAAATCTAAAAATATATTCATCCTCCACTGGTGGTACGTATGAAACTTTAAAGTTAAAATCACAATTGTGACCTGAACAATTTAAGGGTAGAAAAATACTTTTAGAAATATCAGAAGCAGAGAAATGGAGGGTTGATAAGCACCGGTCGTCATTTTCCTTTAAGACTTTTTACCTGAAATACGAACAACTGCATGTTAGCACGGTACAGCTAGCTGCTATCAACCAGTGTGTGGCAATGACGGTTACCATGACGATGTTAATATTGTGAAAATCATGACAAGGACCAACAAATCCAGCTAGGAAGTTGGTTTTGAATCTAAAAAAGGTATGGTTTGAATGGAAGCGTAGAACATTATCCCGAGTGGAGGTGTGTGTGTGTGTGTGTGTGTGTGTGTGTGTGTGTGTGTGTGTGTGTGTGTGTGTGTGTGTATTTCTGTACACACAAACTGAAAGATTGACAATAAAGTTGACTTTGACTTCACTTGTGTATCTGAGGTGTTGATTTTCTCTTCTTTCCACTCGTCACTCTGTTTGACATAGATTCCTGTAATGCAATTACTTATTCCTTTTTTAAAAGCTTTTTGCTTTCTTAAACAGAATATCATCAGCCAAACATCCAGGGCACCAAACATCAAAGGACAACGCAAACATGACAGAATAAAAAGAAAAGCACGGTCAAATGTACAGTAGAGGGTCAGTTCAAGGGTCGATGAAGGACACTGCGATGTAGCGGGTGCCGTTGGTGGTGGGCAGGCCTTCGTGGAGGTGGGTCAGGCGCCCCGGGTGCATCAAGCTCCACCCTTTCCTCTGTGAAGCTACGGAGCAGTTGTACCTGTGGAAACGGCAACCCCCACCCTAAAACAGGAGAAAAAGGTTACGATTTCAGAGAAGATTATGTACAGCAGGGGTGTCAAACTCAATTTCAGCGCCGGCCACAATCGCATTATGGCTGCACTCAAAGGGCCGGCTATAACTTTAAGACTATACAAAAATATACATACAGTACCAGCACAAATTCCAGGTGACTACATCATGAAGCTGACTGAGAGAAGCCAAGAGTGTGCAAAGCGGTCATCAAGGCAAAAGGCTTTTTTGTTAACCAGATAATTCCATATGTGTTCTTTTATAGTTTTGATGTCTTCAGTATTAAAACCATTGAATGAGAAGGTGTGTCCAAGCTTTTGACTGGTACTGTTTATTATATATAAAATGTATTGTATTACATTATTGCCTCTGCATTGGATTATTATCGGTTTGGGTCATAACTTTATAATTAACTGAAAGCAGAAGTCTATAGGGCAAATAATTGCAAGTCTCTTCAGTGCATATGTCACAAATGAAATGCATTGTGGGACATGTAGTTTATGGGCAATGTCCTTTTGTAAAGCGGCATGTAACCGTGTAATAGACGTATTATATTCTTTCAGAGCTCTTGCGGGCCACAGAAAATGAAGTGACGGGCCTTGAGTTTGACGCCCCTGATGTACAGTATGTGGGCAATCTCATAGTAAATCATTCAGGCTTAGCGCTCTAATGTCATCATGCCCCCCCCCCCATGAACAAGTCCTTACCTGAAAGTCTGTGTCTTTGGCATTGAGGGCGATGTTGATGGTGAAGGTGGAGGAGTCGTGATGGGGCCTCAGGTACGCCTGCCTCTCAGGTGTGTATTTCACCACGAAGTTCATCACAGCGTATCCCTGTGATGAAGAGCAAGTCAGCTGACAGTCTATCTTTGAAGAGGCATTTCTGTAGTGTTTCATAAAAGTGTGTGTGCATGTAAATGGTCTGCAAAGGCTTAAATCCCTGGGTTCATCGTGACACTACTTAACACTTGTTCTTCTCTTGGCTAGAGCTCCAACACATTGTACGTGATAGGCTAAGGGGCGGGACATATCTTAATGGTTGACCAATTACAACACTTAATAAAGCACTTTTTGAACATTAAGGTGTCAGAGTAGAGCCACAAAATACAAATATGATCCTGAAAATGAGCTGAATGTCCTCTTGACAGACAATGGGAAACATGTCAGCTACTCTAAATCACACATCTCATAAAATAATGTGACACTCACCTTCGTGAAGTAGCCGGAGAACACTTTTAACGTGACGGGCGATATGAACTCCCGGATGAAGTGTAGCCACTCTTTCTCGTAGCCGATCTGCTTCATGTGGATGTCGTCCGTCGGCACCGTCTCGTAGCCGCCGGAGATGCGCTTGTCCTGAGAAAAAGGATAGAAAATAAAACACACTGTGGTTAACGACCCATGATGATGATGATGATGATGAGGATGTGTGCATGTGTGTGTCTTTAAATCCTCAGGCTGTACTTCAGTCTGACTGCATGAAGCTTAATAGCCCATTCGAAACAGAGTTGGTCGAAGTATCCGTACATATTCACGTTAATTACCAATTTCAAACTGCATAAAACAGGCCACTTGAAATAGACACCATAAACATGATTTATTTGGTTATATTTAAATGATGGAAATAAAATGAAGCACGAGTGCCCTGACTCAAGTCATGCCTTTCCTAAAAGGAAGTAGAAGAAGTAGCTAAGAAAGGAAAATACTCCAACATCTCCTTTTACATCTGGCTAACATGTAACCCCCACCCCACAAAAGGGTGTGAAAGGTAGCTTGGAAGTGACAGCCCACCCCAACATCAAAGACAGCAGACAAGACGTGTCTGTTATCGTAAAGTCTACATGTCTTTTTATTGGTGCCTGGCTTGGATTCATTACAAAAACCCACAAGACACTTCATCTTTACTATCATAATTATGTAACTCAGGCAACTGTTGTGAACGTTTTTTAGGGTTAGGGTTAGGGTTAGGGTGGCATCTTTTGAAGGTTAGAAATGAGCTTTTTTAAAGAGTAAATGTTGATTATATAAGCAGGATACAATAATGAATCACAATGGGTTATACTCTCTGCTTTACAAGCCTCTTAAATTCAATTTCTGACAGTAAATTGTATACACTGGTTCTTCAGAGTGTAATGAAAATAGGTAGGTATTTGGAGCCATAATATTATCCTTCACACATTCTTGCCCTTACAAAGAAGTGTGAACATAACCCCAGAGAAAATACATGTGTTGACTAAAGCCCTGTGTTCAGTAACAGCACTAACCTCATTTTTCCCCCCCGACCAGGAACCGTAGTGCTCCATCTCCTCCACGATTTCATCACAGGCCTTCTGTGAGAAGACTGGGAACCAGAAGACATCTGGGCAAGGCTGCGACACACACACACACACACACACACACACACACACACACACACACACACACACACACACACACACACACACACACACACACACCACACACACACACACACACAACACACACACACACACACACACACACACACACACACACACACACACACACACACACACACACACACACACACACACACACACACACACACACACACACACACACACACACACACACACACACACACACACACACACACACACACACACACAATGAGACCACTGAGAGCTGCAGACTTGATTCACACCTTCACCTTGAGCGTGGCGGGCTGTAATTTAATCCCTGCATGTTAAAAACAGATGTAGGCGACATTATGTCATTCTTTCACTTTCCCTCAGTCTAACACAGATGCAAACGAATGAAAACGAACCTCCTCCATGACGTTTTCAGTGAAAATTCGAGAGTAGTTCGAGTGGATGTACTTCTCCTTCCAGTCCTGTAACGAGAACACTTTTTACTTCTTTTGCTGACCTACATACCTCAGTGAGCTAATCCCCTCTCCCACAGGGCAGGTCCCAGCGTGATAAATACAGTAGTGAATCACAGAGCCTTATCAGTCAGGAGTCTTATCACGCTGAAGTCATTACCTCACTATCGTCTCACATCTCTAATCCTTCCATTATGGCTAATAACCTTTACAGGTGGCTGCTGTTTACCTCAGCCATTCGGAACAATAATAGGTTTCTTTGTGTAACGAGAATAATGCGAGATCATAATGACTTACCGTGGGGTTTTCAAATATCTGCCACAAGTCATTGTTATAATGAGAAGTGTTATAATTGGCTGTGGAAATGAGCCTTCCAAAGTCGTGACGGTTTGTCATGTACATGAAGACTCCCTGCAGCAGACGGGGGGAAAAGTTCAGTCAGTTTCACACAAAGTTAAAATCTCTTTAATGTCTCACAGGCAGGATGTACATAACTGTAATACATGCACATAAACGCTCTGCAGGTAATAGCCTTATTATGCTAACTCATCAATGCTAAGCACTGGCATTAAAACTGACAAACCGTTACTCGTGGCAAACTACTCTAAAGCTTCATTTGCCCAAAAATTAATATGATTTAAGTGTATTTTAACACACTGAAATCAAGTGGGTTGAACTTGGATAGAACCAAAAGAGAGATAAATAATCTAGGATTATTTATGGGTTTGGGTGGGAGGGGAACAGGACAGGGTCGGGCAGTGGGGTGAGACAGGGGAGAAGCTTGGGATGAAGCAAATCCAGGAATAATATTCCCTCTACAGTGAAGCACGCTGTGTTCGGGTGGTTTAGACTCTATCAGACTAGGCTTTGAAGAGAATAGATTAATAGTACTTTTGTTTTCTTTGTGCATGTTTCCAATTTATGTACAAATGAAAGCTGTGATTGGGGCCAGATGGTTTACACGAGTGAAAGGAAATGTGGTTTGAGCCTAGTCTGAGATCAGTCGGTGCGTTCAGGGAGCAGCTGGTTACATATGTTTCCTGTTTGGGGTAAAGCATCAGGACAGGGGACTCCAACCTTCTCTCTACTCCATCTACTCTTGGATGCCATTGAAAATACAGGATATAAACCAGGTTTTTATAAATGTTTTAGCTTGGACAAATATCAGATTTTAGACCTAGACTAAAGTCAACATGTGTGTTGTCTATGTCAACATCAATTTCCAAGGAGCTGCTAGGCATCCTGTTTTCTTATGTAAGCATATAGGCAGCGATCACATATTGCATTTGATATGTAACTGCCAAATCTGAAATAATGCTAGTTTTTCTTCCAATGGAGAATACAGACATTAAGAAACATTCATTCTTAGCGTTCTACTGAATAAATACCCTCTCTCTTTCAGAATTGACCGTAGACAGGGCCAATATATTCTCATTCGGTTACATTGCTTTTGCAAGAGTCTGCCTGAAATGAGCCACTGCTTAGAGTGGCTCTTAGTTGCTAACCCATTGGAAATGTATGTTTCAGAAAGCAGAATAATCAAAACAAATGGAGAACCTTTGGGGGCCTGAGCATATGGAATGATTCCGGAGAAGGGGAGTCTTTTTCTCTGTGACTGGTCTAAAATAAAGGAGAAGCATTGGGTAAATAACAAAAATATCGTTGCAGAATAAGAGACAGGGTGACTCATGAAATATTCACGTACATGCGCCTGACAAAAGAGCAAGGTTCCCTCTGAAGCTGATGTTTTTGTGGGTTAACATGGGCAACATGCATGCTGGGAAAAAGACCAAGCGATCCAGATGTACACCAAGTTTGGATCCGGCATGGTAGTTGTTTATAGCAGATGACATGTGAGTGATAAAAAAAACCATCTGGAAGATTAGTTTATAAGGGAAAAGAAGACAAGACAATCTTTTTTAAGCATGGCTGTGTGAGGACACGAGCAAGAGAAAGTGAAGGGTTCTGGGATAGAAGAGAACATGAATGCACCATAGAGCAACAGAGGTGGTTCATGCCTTGACTTTAGACAAAGACATTTCAAACCACTCATACTTGCCAGACTTTGGTTTCCGTTGAAGCGTTGACTTTGTCAGGGTAGCAATGCATCGTCTAGTATAAATACACCTTACAGTAGCTTTGCCTTTCATGCAGACATGTTCTTATAAACGCTACTATAATATCTGATGCACATATCCCTAAAGATGGAGGTTGAGTTTTCTTACCATTTCTCTGGAATTTCTACAAAGAGCCATATCTGGGTCTAGTTTCCCCAGCACAAAGTAGTTCCTCTCCTTCAGTTCATTCCTCAAGGTGCTGCCTTTGACGAGGTATACATGGGCCATGAAAGGAATGTTCCACAAACCCCTAGAAACACCAAGACAGAGAGAAGAAGATGTTACATTGCTGTTAAAAGTGGCATTTGTTGTGCTTTTTACTGAATCCCGAAGCTATTCATGACTGCAGGTGTTTTGCAGGACTTGTTAGAGAACTATTTGGTAAAGTAAAGCAGGATATCAAGTGTTTTGAAATACCTTTTTAATCTTGTATCTGTTCGGTTAACATTAGCTGACTATTTGGGGGACGTTTGGTTCCCCTGAAATGTACCCCCTCGGTTTGACACGACCAATTCGACTTGCTTCACCCTTTTTGTCTTTGAGGTGTATGCTATCTCCAGGTCCTGACCCTCTGCCCACACACACACACACACACAGGAGGAGACTGAAGACTGTCTTCCTGCCCACAGGGTCGCGGGTGATTAAATCTGGGTTTCTCCTGTGGTGGGGGAACGTCTAAATGCGCACCATCTGGGCACCATTTCAACTTATTTTTAAACACGTAAAAAAGGAGAGGAGAAATGAAACGCCTCAGGCTTTAATGTACAGTACTGAATCATTGATTGTGGCTTTAGTGACAGGACTCCAGGATGTTGCTCCTATAGAAGGGATCATATGTGGCTAAGCATGATCATACTGGTGTGTGAACCATACAAATGCATTGTGTGTATCCTTCTGCACTTACACACGTTTTCTCTGCACAATGTCGATGTAATCTTCGGAGCGAGCGTAATAACCATCCAGACTCAAGCCTCCCCAGAAGTTGGACCACAGCTTGCCGTGGCGGGTGACAAGGGGACCAATTATTTTCCTGTAGGGAGGCGGGAGGCAGAGTGTGGAGATGGTAATTCTGTCAGAGCAGATAAAGATCAGTGACTTTGCACAGAGAGGTCTTGCCGCATGGAGGAGATGAACCTCTCTGGAAAGATATAATCGCGGCCAACATATCATAGAAGTGCATAATGAAAACCATAGCTGCAAATCACGCTCGAGCGGATCCAGTATAACGGTGTGCTGTTTTTCTAAGCCACGAATCTACTCTGTTTCTTTGAATTTGCTTGACATAGGCCCAGATTAACAATGTGTTTTTCCACTGCTCTTACGAACCAAAACCACAATGGAATGGATTTTCCTTTATGAAATGAACTTGGCTGAGTAGAAATAATGGAACCATAAATCACAGTGTTGGTTGATATGAATGCACTGCAGTATAATAATGCATACATTTATTTTAGTTGAGACCTGGCATTTCCCTCCCATAACATGAGTGCCAGCAGAGAGTTCTCATGCACTCTTTAAATAACCTGAAGGGGTTTTACGCTGCATGCCTTCAGGTCACAATGCCATGCCACTGGCACAAAGACATCCAGTTTATGGGAAGGTTTCTTTAAACTCACGAGCTGCAGAAGGGAAAAAGGGTTAGCATGTGTGTTTTTGTGTATATTGCAAAGTGGCATTTCGAGGTTAGTGCAACAGACTCTATCACGGTTTCCATGTGTCCGGTCGAAAACAGGAAACCAGAGCGGCTGTTTTTAAACTTTCATTCACTCGCCTGTAATGTTTCTGTGGTTCTGCCACTTTCAATGGTTCAACGATCACAACAACTACTGCACCAGGGAGGCTCGTTGAACCGGTTCCAGTGCGGTTTCTATTCCAGCTACCATATGATTACCTGTTCTGCTCCACGAGGAGCTTCAGTGTCTGTCTGTTGGTGAGCATCACGTCTGAATCCATGCTGAAGTAGAAGTCGCACGTAACATCCGTACGGCAAATATCCCTAATGAAACCCAGAAACACAGACATAGCAGAGAAAGTAGTGATTATTGGATCCACGGCTGATTACAGTCAATTAAATACTTGGTAGTAATCACGCTCACAAGTTAGAGTTTATCAGCTACTAAGTATACGATGTCATCTTCAATTGCAGACCTAGACTCTTGTGCTGACTCTCCTCAAGCCTCCAGCGGATAATGTGATTTTTTAGAAGATTAGAGACCGGTAATAAACCTTTGACTTCTTCATTATAGGGCTGTCCTCCTGACCCAGGCTTTTTAAGGCATGCTGTGTTTTTGATAGGATCTCTGTGATTGAATTATCACTGTAGCAACAGACCTTCACTAAACATTGAGCAAAATACTGTCGGAGGAATCGGGGAGAAAAGCTGCAATATTCAAATGGTTTGTATTATGTCACTAACTGTGCACAATCCTGTGGGCTTGAGCCAAGAAAGGACACATTATCACAACTCTGCAGATGTTACTAGTGAGCCGACAATAAATAACGTTTAATGGGAACATCTTGGGGTCAAGAGAGCCTGTCGTAGCCACCTGGAAAGCTATGCATTAACATTTGTTTGGATCCTAAGTGGTTTGTTTTCAATAAATACCCACCATCTAGGAACGAGTCATTTAACATGCAAGGTTTCCTTCTGGGACCAAAAGCACCATCATCTGGTTTCATCATGTGTTCTTTAAACCACAGGTTCCTAGAGATGATGGATTTAGAGACATACATGCCCATGTTCCTGGCCTCTCCTTGGCTCAGATTTTCCTCCGGTCCCACAACCTTGAAAGTGTTGAACACATTCCGGTTCTCTTCCCAGAACTTCTGGATGTGCTTCTCGTGGTAAACCTCCTGGATAGAGAGACAATATTAATGCGTTAGAAGCCAAATGTAAGGACCAATGCACGGTAGAGGTCTGCAGCTGCACACACTCACATTGTTGTGGACAAAGACTTTGAGTTTATCTTTGGGATAGTCCAGTGTCAGCAGCCGGTGGAAGAACTCAGGAAGGAACGGGGTCGGCTGCTCGATGAACACTCCAACCAAAACATTCGGATATTCCTGTTTACATTAGAGAGAAGACAAATTAGCATTACTTCACACAACAGGTCTTGGTGTAGGAACTCTGTTTAAGATAAATCATGGAGGGTTTGATATTTCCCTTCAGACAGAAACAAACTTTAAAGTTGCAGCAGATGTCGTCCATTACCACATTCTGTTTGCTTTAATGTCACTTTCTCTGTTATCACAAAAAACTCAATTGTTAACATTTATGAGTGGTGCAATATGTGCAGATAGGACAGTTGGAGTCTATCAGGAATTCCATCCAAGTTGCCACGTATCGCTCTTTTCAGAAGACACTTCATGTACAAAATAATGGCTCAGACAGGCGAAGAATACTCTTTAAAAACAAACTACAGCAAGCGACACAGAGAAGAAAGGAGGAAACATTTTCCCATGACCCTCAGCTCCAGCCCACACAGCTCAGTCTGCTCTCCTCATCCTCTTGACCAGTTCACAGCAACGGTCTGGACCCGGGATGAAAAGGGATCCGAGCCGAACCGTCTAATTTGCAAGTTCCACAATTACTGTGTTTCATGCACACGAAGAGGGATGTCAAGCATCTTGCCAATGTGAGCCTAAATTGTTACGGACGTACGGTGGACAGGCAGCGAAAGGAAAGGAGTGGCAAAAAGGGCAGGAAAAGCACAACTAAAGCATCTATTAAAGCAGACAGGAGTAAGTTGAGAGTGGCGACCGCAGTATATAATTGTGTTGCAAAAGGCTCAAAACCAAAGTACACAAAGCACCAAGCTAGTCAGTAGGTGACCTGGTTTTACCCCAAAAGGAAGGCCTGGACACTGTATGACCAGTGTTTCCACTTGACCTAATCTTACAGACAAACACAGAGAGGCACAGTGGAGTGAAACGTCCACACTAACTTCCCTATTATTGCAAAGCAGCATTTTTCTGCATTCATTATGGAAGGTCACTGAGAGCAGCGTTCACAGAGATGCCTTTCATGTAAAGGGAATAAGATACAGGATTCAGTAATATGTGATAGACATTGTGTTTGTAAAGTGCATGGGGTACATTTTGTGACACTGAACAGGATTGTACCAAAGTCATTTGCAATAAACAGAAAAAAATGAATTAAAGTTTCACAATATTGTTGACAGAGACATATTCTAGTGCCTGCCATTCCTGCAGCTATACGTCCCAGCCTTTGCTGAACCCCGTGTCAAATGTCCAGCGTAACCACTTAACTTACTATGGTGGATAAAACCCATACTGAGAAGCCCACTAAAAGGCAGGCTGGTTGACAGTGACACCCCTTTAAATGAGCCCTTCTTAAAACCCCAGAAGCCATATCCTGCACCACAGCACTGCACTGCTTCCTTTTTCCTCCAAGTAATTTCCCCTGGCACGTATGCTCTTTTAAAAGGGTCCAAAAGGACCAACGGGCACGTAACCTATTATTGTTGGGAAGGCAGTGTGTGCAGCACCGTTTGAAAGAGCATATCTGTTGAAATGGGACAAGCTGGGCACCACCCCGACTGTCTAGACGGCCACTGATAGATGGATGGGTCATGCTGGAAGACCAAGACATATGTGATCCTTTCCTGTGCCTGCAGGGAGGTGGCCTGATACACAGTTTCAACAAAGCAAATAGAGGGGAAATTATTTAATTGAATCGCCCTTACTTTTAACTGAGATAAATCCAGAATGTCGTCGTCACAGTGGCTGCAGCCATGCTCATAGTTCCATGTGTTGGGGACGTAGTTGGCCAAGTGGTTCAAGTACATCTGTAGGCAAGGCAAGGCAAGTTTATTTATATAGCACCTTTCAACACAAGGCAATTCAAAGTGCTTTACAAAAAACGAAAGACATTAAGAAAATGGCATTTAAAATCATTAAAAAGATAATAAAATAAACATTAAAATAAAAAATACATGGATAAAAGTTACAGTGCAGTTTAAGATGTAAATAGTTCAATTAAAAGTAGCGGCAAAAAGAAAAGTCTTTAGTCTGGATTTAAAAGTAGTCAGAGTTGCAGCGGACCTGCAGGTTTCTGGGAGTTTGTTCCAGATATTTGGAGCATAATAACTGAACACAAGGAAAGAATTAAGAGCAGGTCAATGCCAGGTTACACTGCATTTATATCAGCACAAGCAAAGATATTTTCTGTGATTCAGTGGAGCTCTCTTATCTCTTAGGATTTGTTTGGATTATCCTAGGTTGGAATATGTGGATATTCAACAGAGTAATTTATTGTTGAAATTTGATCAAAAGAAAAGTGCCACATGTCTATCCTAGAGAAATTGAGACGACTTGTGTAATTATCCCTTTTTTCTCGGTTGTCTTCATAATTCAACAAACTATTATTATCTATGCTCTGTATTTAGTGTGAACCAAAAGTTGCACATTCATCTGGAAGATAGTTTCCATGCATTACTGCTAACAGATCTCAGTATCAGATTGTTTCCAAGATGAACTCTGCATTATAACTGGAAAAATAAACGAATGGTTGGTAATCCAGCCAGGCAGCTGAAATGGTCAGAACCACAGCTAGGCTAAGGAGTCTGTGAACTACTGGCATGTTGAGCTTCTCCGGGAATAATGACTCAATAGTTTGTCGGATTTGATTCATTACCAAGGAAGGCCAGAGAGAGGCAGCTGGTGGTGGTGACGTGTGAAGAGATGGGGGAAGGAAAGAGAAAAGCTCCACAAGTTCATGAAGCACACGGTCATCCTGCATTTCAGCATGCTAAGACCAATATGTCATTTACCCAGAGGGATGAAGAAAAGAAAATGGGGCCCACATGGCTTTGCAGCCTATAGTTTTAGCCAAACCTCCACTGAATAAAGAGCTGGCTCCGTACTACTGAAACTATCATATGCAAAGTTTTGATATTTCTTGAAGTGGTGCGCTGAAAATCTTTGGTAACAGAAACTTGTCTGCAAATGGAAATGATAATGTCGTAGAGGAGTAACTTGAAAGTATGTAATCTTTGCCATACGTACTGTGTTAGGTGTGCCTGAGTAAGGTGTACCGTTTTACTTACTTTAGTATTTCCGTTTCCATGGACAACCACTGGCAGAGAGTCGTACACTGTGTTTCTAACTCTTACGAGGTTTGTTCCAAACTTCAGAAGCACTTCGTCTGCCAAAAAGAGGAACAAGATACATTTCAGGTTAGGAAATGTAAATCGACTCACCACATGGGCTGATGCTGTGAAGGTTTATAACTTAGAGGGTAGACTGCCAAGCCTACAAGTACTCAGATTTGTTTGTTGTTGCGTTTAACAGAGTGTAGGAGCAAGACAGTGCCAAGTTGGTTGAAGTTAGCTCAGCCAAATAAAAAACAGATAAGCAGGACATTTATTTGAATTTAATGTCTCCGATTTCTCACCAATGGCCCCGTTCAGGTTCTGGAAAATCTGGCACTTGTGGTCCAAAGTCATGTTGAGAGTGTGCTGGGAGACATGAAAAGGTAGATTATTATGCCATCCAGTTCGTAATATGGATATAATCTCTTATTAAGTGTTGGCTTTGACATGGGATACTTACTCGCTGTAAAGGATCCACGTATATTTTGGTGTAGAAGAGCTGGTCGTCATCATTGTCATGGAGGTTCCACTGTGTAACAACCTTGTTTATGAACGGGGCGTATCCAATTATACCTGAAAGCAATAAACAGCGTCAAACGCATATCCTGGGGCAAAGTATACGCTTGAGAAACGTTTACAAGGTTATACACGACTGGTAGACTGTTGGTGACAATTACAGTATACTGCCTGGATGCCTTACATTTTTTGGCAATAATCCCAAACACACAAGAAATGGGCAGAAACGCTCTTTTCCCACAGTCTGTAGATAGAACAGAGTGCAGTAAGAGAGTTGTAATCTATATGTTATAACTGTCTGCCAGCGCTGTGTGCCAGTATCTCACATCCTCTTTAAATGTACACTCTCATGGCAATCTACAGTTACACCCGGTCACCTCTCTGTCCCCTCTCTTGCTCTTGACCACACTGACAGATTGCAGGGTTTGCTTGTGTTGCTGGACATTTTGTATCCCATCATTTCAAGCAAAAGAAAAACTCCCAGACGCTGGGAACAAGTCAACGGATGACATCATGTAAAAAGCAGGAGCAATAAAAAGTTAAAAGGAAATCATGACATTTTATGCAAATCAAAATTGTCGGTAGTTTAGCCACAAAATGAGGGCTATATAAAATCCCGGAGAGTGCTGGGAACGGCATGCATTTTTGACCCAAACAACTATTGTGTGCTCTGCTGGACACTGTGCACAATATTCTATCTGCAAAGCAAAACAATATGACTATCTTGCAACTCTTATTGCTAAGCCCCTCATTAGTTTCAGGTTTACAGTTGTATTACCTTGGTTTTCGAGTAGACTTAAAACAACAAAAAGACACACTCAAACACAAACCAACTGTCTCTTGATTCATTCGACAAAATACCGTTGTCTCCGTGACACAGTAGTGTGTGTCTGGTCTCTATAAAACTCTACCAATGGTCACTTGGGCGGTAGCTTTAGCAACACAAACACAACCGGCAATTGTATACACTCTGTGGCACAGTCTAGGGTCCGAGACAAATGTACATGACAAGTCGATGACAATGAATGCTAAAAACATTCTCTGACCGGCAGCTACGCTCCAGCATGGGAGGTCAGGCCAGGCCAGCGACCACAGAGAAACCAGTCATTTGAAGTCCTAGACAGATGGCAGGATGCAGTCCGCCATGTCATCTGGATTATGGATATGAATGTGCTGTTACTGTCTGCTGTTGTTAATAATCGTTGGATGTATTCAGTTCAGAAATGAGGGTGACCTATAGAAATCTAGAGTAACATTCCTTAATCACGTGAATGGGCTTCTGTCCCCTTCTTGGACAGGAAATACCTCAAGGAGACAGTTTACAGGACAAATATACATCCAATTTAAACCAAGAGATACCAATAAAGGTCCTGCGGTTTTATATTTTAAAACCAACTCCAGTTTGTTATTCCTTGAAGCCGTCCCACCACTCTTTAACAGCGAGGCCTCACGGCTGCTCAGCCCCCTGAATTCCTACAAGGCCTGCATGTCTTCAACGTTTGACAGCTAAAGGGGGAAAGTATAAACCTTTTCGCACCCACATAAGTTATGTGTTTACCACCAGGTTACCCAAACAGTGTCACCTACCAGTTGAGTATTTGAGGATCACCTTTGCACTATACAAACAATGTGTTTAAAGCCTGTCTTGTCCGGTGATCTGTCAAAACATTGTCCTTTTTCGAATTTGAGAAACCCACCTCCAGAGTTGAGGTAGCGTTTTCCACTGCGGACTGACGGGTACTTGTCAGCTAGCTTCTTATCCGGCCAGATCAGCCCGTCTGCAGCGAAGAGCACTTTGTGATTGGCCTGCTGGAACTTCCTGAGAATCTCTTCTGGTCCCCCAGCAAAGATAAGATCATAGCTAAAAGGGAGAGGTGAAGGGGAAACAACACAAATCATTCCTTTACCCTTTGAGATGCCTTATCTTCATCTGACACACCCTAGGTTTCTACTTGCTTCTGCTTGAGATCTAAATCTTACCTGTAAGCATTGAACATTCTTCATGAGTGAGCCAATATTCGTGTCAGGTATTTCAAAGAGTCCTGCTTTTAATGGATATAAATACTCAAAAACGATGCCAGTGTATGCATGGTCTATAAAGAAAAGTGCCCAACCCTTTAAATGGACATGGTGCTGACTGTTTAAAAAGCACTCTGCTCAAAGGGCAGATATTTTAGGATGTGGAAACTTCTAATGTTCTTCATTTCCACAGAGCTATAAAATGTCCTCTCGTGGGTGTGACTTTGATTCTCCACATGTGTCAGTGAACTGTACACACTAGTCTGAAATGGACCAATCCTCTCCTGTATACATATATGAGGTGGCAGGAAAAGGGAAAGCCACCTCGTTCAGGCATGTACAGAGAGGAGGAGAAGTGTAATGTAGGTGAGGAAGCCTGTCTGTCCTACTGTATCCACATCTGGCTGACACATGTTCCTCCACGCACCCCCTGACCCTTGTTAACCCATCAATCATAGTTACTGCTTCTTGTAACTTCTTGTAACTTAAATGAAATGTTGATGATAAGAAAATAAATGTAATGTAATAATTGGAATGAAATGGTCTGTTTTTAAAGGGGCCCTATTCTGCTCTTCTTCATGTTCATATCAGTATTCAGTGTCTCTACTGGGACATGTCTCGTTCAAAAAGCTCTTTAATTGTATCATACTGCCCGTGCAAAAGCATAGGGCCTCTTTAAAAGAAGGACCTAACATATTTTCATACAGACGTGTGGTATTTAGCAATATGGGGACACACGTAACTGGTTCAATGTTTCAAAAGGCATTTCTATACACATGAACGTCCTGCCCATTCGTAATGTGCTTAGGCATGCAATCATTTTCTCTTGGGAACTTCAGCCTGCGCTCAGAAGCCCAGCAACACAGTGAATGAATTTAAATTCCACTTATCATTTCAGTGAGTGAATTACAGTAGGGACACAATGTAAGGCTGTGACTGAAGCAGACACTGTCAGAGCATGATTATATTTAAAATACATTTTAAAAGCCTCATAATCTTCCGTGAAGTGCAGATGCAGTTTCTTCCAGGAAAACATTCCAATTACCTGTTTCAAGGGTGTTTGCGTTTGCAGAGCAATTATAGCTCACATCATCCATGTGACACGGTGCACTAAGTGTCATCATCTTGAGCTCCATTTGAGGAAATATGGCCTGCAAAGCTGTTATTATTCTAAACCACTCACATTAACTCAGTAAAACTTTCCATCGGCTTTGAAAAGTCATAATTCAGCTACCTGCAAGTGAACATTACTCCCCTCATATACTTGCCGACGCTCTATGCCTTTACATGAATGAGTGGGATGGGCGGGTTAAAGCCGAATACAGGTGAGGTATCTCCTCTCAGTGGGGAGGCATCGCTCTCATGGTAATTATTATAGTCTGTGATTGTGAAAATTAGTTGAATTTCTAATGTATAGATCTGCACGGCAATTCAAGGTGTTCTGCATCTCACACAAACCGACAGACAGACAGACAGACAGACAGACAGACAGACAGACAGACAGACAGACAGACAGACAGACAGACAGACAGACAGACAGACAGACAGACAGACAGACAGACAGACAGACAGACAGACAGACAGACAGACAGACAGACAGGACAGACAGACAGACAGACAACAGACAGACAGACAGACAGACAGACAGACAGACAGACAGACAGACAGACAGACACACACACACACACACACACACACACACACACACACACACACACACACACCACACACAAACACACACACACACACACACACACACACACACACACACACACACACACACACACACACACACACACCCACACACACACACACACACACACACCACACACACACACACACACACACACACACACACACACATTACATCAGAAGAAGGCAATGAACCTCCCTACAGTATTTTAAGGTGAACAGATAGGCTTAGGTATTTCTGTCTTTAAAGGCAAGGCAAGGCAAGTTTATTTATTTAGCACTTTTCAACACAAGGCTATTCAAAGTGCTTTACAAAAAATGAAAGACATTAAGAAAAAGGCATTTAAAATTAGTCATTAAAAAGAAAAGCTAATAAAATAAACATTAAAAGAAAAAATACATGGATAAAAGTTACAGTGCAGTCTAAGATATGAATAGTTCAATTAAAAGCAGCGACAAAAAGAAAAGTCTTCTTGCTGGATTTAAAAGTAGTCAGAGTTGCAGCGGACCTGCAGGTTTCTGGGAGTTTGTTCCAGATGTTTGGAGCATAATAACTGAACGCTGCTTCTCCATGTTTAGTTCTGACTCTGGGGACAGAAAGCTGACCAGTCCCTGAAGACCTGAGAGATCTGGATGGTTCATCATTTAGCAGGATGTCAGAAATGTATTTTGGGCCTAAACCATTCAGTGCTTTATAAACCAGCAGCAGTATTTTGAAATCTATTCTTTGACACACAGGAAGCCAGTGTAAAGACTTCAGAACAGGAGTGATGTGATCCACTTTCTTAGTGTTAGTGAGGACTCGAGCAGCAGCGTTCTGAATCAGCTGCAGCTTCCTAATAGATGTTTTAGTGAGACCTGTGAAGACACCATTGCAGTAGTCCAGTCTACTGAAGATAAAAGCATGGACAAGTTTTTCCAGATCCTGCTGTGACATTAGACTTTTAATCCTAGATATGTTCTTTAGGTGATAGTAGGCTGATTTAGTAACTGTTTTAATGTGACTGTTGAAACTCAGGTCAGAGTCCATGACTACACCTAGATTTCTGGCTCTATCTGTTGTTTTGAACATTGCACACTGAAGCTCAGCGCTAACTTTTATACTTTCTGACTTGGCTCCAAAAACCATTACCTCAGTTTTATCTTTGTTTAATTGGAGAAAGTTCTGACACATCCAGTCATTGATTTGTTCAATGCACTTACTCAGTGTTTGAATTGGAGCATAGTCTCCTTGTGAAATTGTTACGTACATTTGTGTGTCATCTGCATAGCTATGGTAACTTATTTTGTTGTTTTTCATTATCTGAGCCAGTGGTAGCATGTAGATGTTAAAGAGAATGTTAGGGAAACTTCCGTCTTACATCTGTTCCCTGATCTCACAGCGTATTGTAAATGGCTACTGCCTGAGATCTAAAGCTGTGGTTGTATTACATGTGCCAACTGCTAGGACTGTATTAGGAAATACAGCTTTTAGATGCGCAGCGCCGCTAGCATGGAACAGTCTACAAAAGGAATGGAAGCTAAGCAGTTTGATTCCATTTCATGTTTTTAAAGCTAGGATAGACGCTATACAATCAGAAAATATTGGTGTCTGTAAATGCTACTAGTATACAAACTGTAGTATCATATAATGTCCTTTGTTTTCTGTCATGTTTGTATTAATGTTTGGAACTAATTGAAGCAGGTCACCATTGTAAAAGAGGTCTATGATCTCAATGGGTTTTATCTGTATAAATAAAGGTTTTGAATTGAATTGAATTGAATTGAGAAGAGGCCCCAAGATGGAGCCTTGAGGAACCCCACATGTCATATTTGTCAACTCAGATGTGTATTTACCTATAGAAACAAAGTTGTTTCTGTCCTTTAAGTAGGATTCAAACCAATTCAGAACTGTTTCCGAAAGTCCCACCCAGTTTTCCAGTCGGTCTAGTAATATGCCGTGGTCAACAGTGTCAAACGCAGCACTGAGATCTAATAATACTAACACTGAAGTTCTGCCACTGTCTGTGTTTAAGTGGATGTCATTAAAGACCTTTACAAGAGCAGTCTCAGTGCTGTGGTTTGGACGAAAGCCTGACTGGAACACATCAAAACAGTTATTTAAATGCAAGAAATTACTCAACTGTTGAAAAACAACTTTTTCAATGATTTTACCTAGAAATGGCAGGTTTGATATGGGCCTGTAATTGTTCATTACTGAAGCATCTAGATTATTCTTTTTTAAGAGCGGTTTAATGACTGCAGTTTTCAGGGCCTGTGGAAAAACACCTGAGTGAAGAGATTTGTTTACTATATGAAGTAGATCTGAGGCCATGCAATGAAAAACATCTTTGAAAAATCCTGTTGGAATAATATCAAGGCAGCAGGAGGAGGATTTCAGAAGTTGAATAATGTCCTCTAGGTTTTTATCATTAATCTGATGGAATTGTGTCATGGTGTTTGAATCGATGTTAAGTGGACACAGAGACACATTTGCTGTTCCTGATGCAGAGGCACTGACTGCTTGTCTGATTTTCTGAATTTTGTCAGTGAAGAAGGCAAAATCATTGCACATTGCATTGTGGATAGAAATTCAGAGGCTACTGACACTGGGGGGTTAGTTAGTCTGTCGACGGTAGCAAACAAGGCACGTGCGTTGTTTTTGTTTTTGGTAATGATGTCAGAGAAGAACGATTGTCATGCGTTTTTCAATTCCAAATTCTAAAGGCCAAGTCTCTCTTTATAGATTTCAAAGTGAACCTGGAGATTTGTTTTTCGCCACCTGCGTTCAGCTTTTCGACATTCTCTTTTTTCTGCTCTCACGCTCATGGCCTTTCTCCATGGAGATATTTTCTTGCCAGACACTTCCTTTACCTTAGTTGGAGCAATGGCACCTATAACATTTTTAATTTTTGAATTAAAATGATCTACTAGCTCATTTACTGAGATGTTAGCAGGGGCAAGTGTGGAAGAGAAATTCTGAGTAAACATTTCCCTAGTATTTTCAGTTAAATATCGCTTTGTGGTTACCTCTTTTTTAACATGTTTGTGAACAGAAATAGAGCTCTCAAATAAAACACAGGAATGGTCAGAGAGTGCAACATCAGTCACCACAACCTTAGAGATATTCAGACCCTTTGAGATAATTAAGTCCAGAGTGTGCCCCTTATTGTGCGTGGGCTCCGTCACATGCTGAGTCAGTCCAAAGCTATCAAGAACACAACACAGTTCTTTAGCCCCTCTGTCCTGGGGGTTGTCAACATGGATGTTAAAATCACCAACAATGACCAGACGGTCAAAGTCAATACACACTATAGACAGCAGTTCAGTAAAGTCATCAAAAAAGCTTGCACAGTATTTGGGTGGTCTATAGATATTTAGGAACAGAGCTCGAGAGGAGCATTTCAGCTGAAGGGCCACATATTCAAAAGAATCAAAGTTCCCATAAGATGTCTTCCTGCATTGAAGCGAATCATTGAACAGAATAGCAACTCCACCCCCTCTCTTATGCATTCTTTCCTGACTCATAAAACTAAAGTTGGGAGGGGTTGATTCGATAAGAACAGCTGCACTGTTATTTTGTTCAATCCAAGTTTCTGTTAAAAACATAAAATCGAGGCAAGGCAAGTTTATTTATACAGCACCTTTCAGCACACGGCAATGTAAAGGCGCCCTGTTGTGCTTTTTGGGGTTTTCCCTTTCCTGAAGTGTGTTTATTTAGGTTGTTGTGCATGTAAATGGTCTGCAAAGGCTAAAATCCCTGTGTTCCCTCCGTAGAGAGCTTCTCATTTTGTCAACGTACCTGTCCACGGTAAGGACAACCAGATCCTCCTGGTCAGCGAGCGCCTCCATGGCCTCCTTCAATAGTCTGACTTTTTGCCCTCCACCAATAGAACGGCCCACGTCTCCACCTTTCCACGGCTCTCCCATTCCCAACACCTGAGGCAGGAAATATGTTTTAATCTCTAAAAATCACGGCGGGGAGACATGTTTCACCCATCTTCTAAAGTGTAGTAAGATTGGTACTTCAATATTTTCATACAAAATCTAGAGCTTTGGAAAATAAGGCAATTATGTTACCCTTTTGAACCAGGGCTAGAACATTTTATAAGCTTGTGTGTCAGTGCTGCCAAAAAACAGAACCGCACTATCTCAACAGTAAATGGAAAAAAGCTCTACATCATAACTAATTTGCTCTCATTGGTTTTTCTGGACGAAGATGAGACACACCAAGCCTGGAGAAGCAATATAATCAAGCAAAGCATAACAGGAAATGGACAACATTAAGTCTTATTTAGAAAGGTCGGCCAATGAGGGCTCAAACAGGCTAGAAAAGTAGCTTGAAGTGAGCGCCTAACTCTGACCTCCAACAATGTTTTCTTTCACCGCTGGTTTCAACCTCAGAAGGGAATTCTGGACCCACATCGGGGAGTATCTCTTTAAGATGGATGTTTTTGCAGCTTGGTGCACTTCATTGTTTCCTTTAAAGGCCTAATCAATCTTGGGAAGTGTGGGATGAAAACATTTGGCTGGTCTGTGTGTGTCTATGAGAGAGAGAGCAGCCTCGTTAGCTGGGACACTCGGTGGGTGTAATATTAGAATCTTACCTTCACATTGTACTTGAAGTAGTTTGCAGACTTCATGAAGCGGAGGAATCCGTCTGTCTCCTCTGTTGCGACTGTTAGAACCAGCAATTTCTCTGCAAAGAAAAACATTTCCACAAACTTACTTATGGGTCTCATAAAGTCATCACATATTTTTTGCAGACCAAATGATAGGGATGTGCGGAGATACTCTTGCAGCTGGAAACAGTGACATTTTAGTTTGTGAAATGAGAGCAAATTCCTGGTTTACATCGAAGGGTATCCACCGAAATACGGTTAGTGTTTGACGCTTATATAAGTCTTGAGATTCCCTATTCTGTGGAACGAGTTCCTTGTAAACCTCAGACCTATGTCAACAAACCGGCAGCTATTTGGTTTAACAGTCCAAACCTACATCTCAAATTACTGCCGTTTTGATCTCATTCAAAAGAAGAACTACATTTTTAAACTCTGACCAAATAATTGTTCCTCTTCTTTGGTTAAAAGAACATCCACAAACCTGAGTGCTGACATCTGAGGTTTGACAAAGGGTAGACCAAGTACAAATTAGCACCATAGCCTCATGTGCAGCTACAGAGAGGCAGATTACACCCACTAAGCTAGCTTTCTCTTGTACTGGTTTGTTTTCTCAAACCAACTGGGAGTAGCCTTGATTAGAAAGCAGAATCTGATAGTGAGCCAAGGAGGGAAGTCCTCTGATCTCTAGAGAATCAAACTCCATACTGGTTCATTACCATTGAGCAAAATGCAGTTCTGTGCAGGCCAACAAAAAGTTAATGACATTTTAATATTTCTTTATTGAACCACTTCAATACTAATCCTACTTTTTATTGTTTCAAGAGCCAATCTGCTCTCTATTTAATATGCAGCAGTATGTGTCACCGAAGCCTCGTAAAGGAATTATTGGACATTGGCAAGTAGCGTTGGAAGTGTGACAGAGGCCAGAAAGAGTGCAATGTGTCCCAGTACACAGTTAAAACGCTGGAATACACAGATTGGTATTTCTTTATCGTTTCATTTGTGGAGATTTGAAAGTGTTGTGGTGTTCATTGGTTAGTAATATTACTAGGAATGTAACGATTTAAGGAGAGGATATGTGACGTGACTTTCCATCCGGTACAGTTCCATCACGACAGCTTGCAGAGCGGACATCAAAACCTCTATGGTGGCCATTGAAAGGGGAAGTGGCAAAGTGGATATAGACGTCTCCTAGAAATGGACATCTGATTCCAAAAACACTTAAAAGTTGGGCTTGAATTTACTTTTCGAACGTCCACTGTATTTTCTTCTTTATTCCAACACCGAAGAAGTACATTGAACAAAGCCTGAGCGTGCAAGAACATTTTCTTAATAATTGTGTTGCCAGAATAATTATAATCCTCCACCTCCCACCCACTCGTCACACTTAAGTATATTACAGGCAGCCTCCTGACAGATCTTTTCCATTCATTTCCAGTCAATGAGACTTAGTCATGGTCTCATCCCGTCTAGCCTGTGGCCCTGTCGTCACTTTAATAGCCTTTCCAGGTCTTCTCCGACACAGAGGTTCTGTTACGGGTCACGAATAGTTGTCTGTCTGTCTGCCTCGTTCCTTACAGCATCAGGTGAGCCATCGCGAAGGAATTGGCAGATTCAGAGAAACCTGGGATTTAGATTAAGCTGCGCTCAGAGGGAGGGGAGTCTGAGGAACAGGTGTGTCCATGTTCTTGTTCTTCGCTTGGGATGATGACCCAGTGCAAGGGTTAGCATCTGGGATTCACATTTTCTGGCCAATCACAGCTTGAATATTGATTGATTTTTGTTTTTGTAAAGTAAAGGAAATAGTTGGAAACAGCCTCTTTAATTTAATATGTGTGGGTGGAGGGTATCTGTGTAATTTAACGGTCCAGTAAGCAGTTCTGATAGAGTATTCTTAGGGATTTCTTGGCAATATTTGTAGGCGTCATGGAAAAATCATTATTTTCGTAATGCTGTGAAAACTCCCAGGACATATGTTTTATATTTCTCTTTGCAATGAACTCGAAGCTGCCTGCTTCGAACCCTATTCTGACTACATTTTCAAAGACTTCCTACACATGAGAAGCTGGGATTCTGCCTTTGTCTTGCACACCCATTGAACACAGTAAAACTGACTTGTATTTGATGTCAGGGACACGTTTGATGTCAGGAGGAAACGGCTCACACGATTTACCCCTCGCTGACTTTGTGACCTTACAGAACCTCCTCATCTTCCTCCTGTCGTAAACACGCAGGCCACATGAGTGCATCCCAACAAGCAAGCTCCCAGTTAAGTACAGTCTGTCGACGCTAACCACCTTTGATTTAAAGGAGATGAAAGAAACACTTTTATTTCTTACATCAAAGTTGTTATTCCAATACTTAAGCAGATCTCTTCCTGGGCTTTTCCATACACAACGTTTCCCAGTGGCCTCATGTGAACTCAGGCTGGAAACCTTGGCTAGGTATTTTGATATGTTCTCTAAACACAACGTACCTAGGGAACAATCATCTGCTAATTATATTTCAAACCAAGGCCATACATCTGTTTTCATATCAAGTTCAATCAACTGGGGGCTGCTTTGACTTCATATTTAGATTCTCTTCTTAATAACAGAAGAACATATACTTTCACATTTAAATACACAGTTTAGAACCGGGCTAATTATCAAGTTCGTAAATCCCTCTGATAATGAAGCGACACAGATGGCTACTCTGAAAAGGGAGACAGCCGTGTTTATGGAGGATGAGTGTCTCGTCAGAGTAAACAGTCTCATGTCGGGACGGTAAGAACAGCCCACAGGAGGAGAGGAATGCAGCTCAAACTGCTGCTGTAACTCCTCTCCAAGAAAGGCATTTCTCCCTGTTTCTCTGAACCACATGGGACCGGCCGTCTCGGTACACTTTCACACTTCGATGAGCAAAATCTCTGACTCGCTGGCTCGGGCGAAGCTTGAGTAAGCATTTCTTCCAGAGAGGAAAGTGGTACCATGGGAATATTCCCCGGCCTTGAGCTGAAGGATAACGGGATCTTTCCTCTTTGACGAGACGGTTCTGGACAGGGAACCGCGACTCTTTCTATTTTGGTCATCTAAGTAAACAGTTTATAGAAAGTTGTCTGGCAAAGGAAAGCAGTTCAGTTAAAGAGGCCCTAATATGTTTGTTTTTTTCTTTTCTTTTCCTGTAGTGTGTTATATAGGTTATTGTGCATGAGTAGGGTATGATAGGCTAAGGGGAGGGACATCTCTAAGCGGTTGACCAATGACAACAGAGCCGGCCAGCTAACCAATCAGAGCAGACTGGGCTCTGGTTTCAGACAGAGGGTGAAAAGACGTGCTGCAGCACAGACAGTATGAGAACAATAAAGAGCTTTTTGAACATTAAAGCACGGAGACATGAAGAGACACTACATACTGATATACACCTGAACATCAGCAGGAGAGGACTCTTTAAAGTAGAGACACTACATACTGATATACACCTGAACATCAGCAGGAGAGGACTCTTTAAAGTAGAGACACTACATACTGATATACACCTGAACATCAGCAGGAGAGGACTCTTTAAAGTAGAGACACTACATACTGATATACACCTGAACATCAGCAGGAGAGGACTCTTTAAAGTAGAGACACTACATACTGATATACACCTGAACATCAGCAGGAGAGGACTCTTTAAAGTAGAGACACTACATACTGATATACACCTGAACATCAGCAGGAGAGGACTCTTTAAAGTAGAGACACTACATACTGATATACACCTGAACATCAGCAGGAGAGGACTCTTTAAAGTAGAGACACTACATACTGATATACACCTGAACATCAGCAGGAGAGGACTCTTTAAAGTAGAGACACTACATACTGATATACACCTGAACATCAGCAGGAGAAGACTCTTTAAAGTAGAGACACTACATACTGATATACACCTGAACATCAGCAGGAGAGGACTCTTTAAAGTAGAGACTCTACATACTGATATACACCTAAACATCAGCAGGAGAGGACTCTTTAAAGTAGAGACACTACATACTGATATACACCTGAACACCAGCAGGAGAGGACTCTTTAAAGTAGAGACGCTACATACTGATATACACCTGAACATCAGCAGGAGAGGACTCTTTAAAGTAGAGACACTACATACTGATATATACCTGAACATCAGCAGGAGAGGACTCTTTAAAGTAGAGACACTACATACTGATATACACCTGAACATCAGCAGGAGAGGACTCTTTAAAGTAGAGACACTACATACTGATATACACCTGAACACCAGCAGGAGAGGACTCTTTAAAGTAGAGACGCTACATACTGATATACACCTGAACATCAGCAGGAGAGGACTCTTTAAAGTAGAGACACTACATACTGATATATACCTGAACATCAGCAGGAGAGGACTCTTTAAAGTAGAGACACTACATACTGATATACACCTGAACATCAGCAGGAGAGGACTCTTTAAAGTAGAGACACTACATACTGATATACACCTGAACATCAGCAGGAGAGGACTCTTTAAAGTAGAGACACTACATACTGATATACACCTGAACATCAGCAGGAGAGGACTCTTTAAAGTAGAGACACTACATACTGATATACACCTGAACATCAGCAGGAGAGGACTCTTTAAAGTAGAGACACTACATACTGATATACACCTGAACATCAGCAGGAGAGGACTCTTTAAAGTAGAGACACTACATACTGATATATACCTGAACACCAGCAGGAGAGGACTCTTTAAAGTAGAGACACTACATACGAATATCAACATGAAAAAGAGCATAATAGGGTCCCTTAAAGCGTTACATTCCTTTCCGGGAATATCTAATCAGACATGATTTATACTTGCATGGTTCGCACAGTTATGATTGACTGTGCTTTTCTTTGTGCAATCCAATGGGCCATGCCTGAACTTGGAATTTGCCCGAGGATGTGCACCCTCCTGAAAGTCACCCCCCATCATATGAAATGTGATTTTAACTCAAGTCGTTGAACTGAGATCGGGAAAGGGGAATCGTCAGGGTACATGCAGATTGGTAAGAGATTATAGAGTGTAACAGACTCAGGAATGTAAC